TGTAGTAGTTAAGGTTTTTAATGTTGTTAAAATAAATAATTATATTCAATCTTTTATACTCCACACTGAGGCTTATTTGATAAAAAAAAAGAGAGTAAAAACTGTAATATTGTAAAATTTGTATGTTTTTGCTGAAACTGTGATACACTACCATTCAAACATTTGGAAAATGAATAATTGTATTCGGAAAGGACACATTAAATTGATCAAACGTGACAGTAAAGACATTAATAATCATTATCTAATAATAATAATAATAATGATAATAATAATAATTTAATAATTAAATGTTCTATTCCTCAAAAAATCTTGAAAAAATATATCATTATTTCCACAAAAATATTGAGAAGCAAAGTCTGTTTTCAACATTGATATTTAAGATATGTACAAGATGTAATAATGTAAAATAAATAAAAATTGTAGTATACAATTATACATTATAGAATGTAAATGTATGTAGAGATCCAAGAATTCTTCATGATTCTGATTCAGTGGGTCTCAGAACATAACTTGAAGATAAACTACCTTTAAAAGAGATGTCAGTCAGACCGTCGTGGCACAGTATTTTATTGTTCACAGCAGGAGTCCTGCAATTCACAATGTTTGCTCAAGTTCCTCTCTAAAATGAAAATGAGAAACACATATTCATCAGAGTAAACATGCTTCATTGCTTATTTTTCAGACCAGCATGTGGATGGAATGGAAAACAGTAGCGTTTTCTTTGAGGTGACAAATTTGAAGCCAGTCAAGGACTTCCGATGCTTCATTTTTCATTTTTCGTCATGGGATAGAAACATTTTTAGTGGCTAATGTTCACAAATTACTGAAATATGGCTCAGAACCTCTATGTCACATAAGTATGTCACAAAAGAGAGAGAAATTGCCTCAGAATTAATGACATGACTAAGGATTCGAGTCAATTTGTGAATCATACTTGATTGCCCTTGACATTAATGATCGTATTTTGATGATCAAGATGTTCCTTGATGATTGCTTGACATATGATGAAGGCCCAGCACAAAAAAAAAAAAAGAGAAACACTGACATAAAGGACACAGTGTAAGAGATGAAGTGCACTAATAGCCCCCGAATTGGTCATATTTGAATCATGTCACAAATGGTAATATTAGACCTCGACCAACCGCCAAACCTAAAAATGTGTCAGATTTCTTTGATTAATTCTTCCTCTTTGGTCAATCCTAGAGCCAGTGTTTTGAGCCGGCCTATCTTCACATTAAGCTTCTGGCAAATGACAAATGGAAACATGATTCATAGTGCACAAAAAATACTTGATGTCTGCTTCATGTCTTAATTTGGCCTTTCTACCTATGAAATGTTTAGAGACTATGTAATTGTTGATTCATAGTCATCAGTGTTCTGACATCTCTTGACATCTCAAGCTAAAAAAATTAGATCATATTTAAAGTGATTCATTATTGTGTGTGTGTGTTGATTGGAAACATACATACATGTTCCAACACATTTTTGTTTCTCTGTATTTTGTGGTGAACCGAATGACATGTGATCAATTTTGTATATGTGCTGTAGAGAGTCACACATAACTGATTGTCCTCTTTGACCCCAGCACAGGTCTCGAACCCAAACTCTCATCACTCGCCTCAATATGACGCAGGGCCTGGATTTGAACAAGCTTGCTTTGACTCACTTCCCATTTGGCCTGCTCAACAGGGTATTGACACAGCTTTTCGGCGTCCGTTGAGGGGGAAAGCAGTCTTTTTTACTGGGCTTCATTTAAATGAATGGAGGCATTATGGAGATGTCACAGCTACGGACCCCTTCTGCTGTATATAAGCACTCAGTGACCAACTGACGGGTTACGGAGAGGTTATTTTTTAAACTTATGTATTGATTTAAATGTATGCTGGGACATTTATGCAGCAAAAGTTCCGTGAAGACTAGAAATTTTTCTTTCATTTTCTTATTTATTTTTTTAATCAAATTATTTATTAAGCTAATAGCTTAAGATTTACACAGTTATTTAATTAATTGATTACTATTTTACTGTTGTTGATGTTTTATTTATTTTGTATTTATTTAATTGTTTATTTAAATGCATTATTAAAAATAATCTGTAGATGATAACTGGTTTATGGACATTTATGCTTACGGTAGCACACCAAAGTAATTTGCATACTGTACTTGCATATTACCGCTATTAAAATAATCATTATTGAAGTACTATAGAGTCATATAGTTCTACATTATAAACTACTTCAGTCTGTGTGCATTGAATTTATTTAATACACGAGTTTCACAATTTGAGTTGAATTACTGAAATAAATGAACTTTTCCACGACATTCTAATTTATTGAGATGCACCTGTAAATACAATAGTTTAAATATTGTTCTTTTTTTAAATAAAATGATTTCCTAAAGGAGTTTCTGTATGAATTACACAGTTAAGCAGTTTGTTTGTTTATAATAATAATTGTATTGTGGTGTCATTTTTAAGAATTTTATATTAATTTAATTATACATTAATTTAATTTTGTCATTATAAATAATATGTAGGTATAGTTCATATTTGGCCTATGAACATTTTTATTTATTTTTATAGTAGCATACTATTGTATTTGTATACTTTTTAAAAATCTCATTGTAAAGCTAAATATCCCACATTGCATTTAAATTGTACACAATACAATTAGTTAGATTTAAATATTGCATTATTTGTTTGGTGCATGTTTTTTTATTATTACTTTAAGATCAAACAATAATTAGTCACTTTCTATTTTCTCTATTTTTAGCCTTTATTATAAAAATGGAACAAAATCTATTTTGAAAAGCATTTTATAGACTTGTGTTTCTGTCACATGAGTCCACATTTCAATGGCCATTTTATTTCATATTTTTCCATCAGGGACCCTTTTACAATCTTTTAAGGGACCTCAGTGGAGCCAGAGCTGCTCTCTCAGTCTGGGCACCATTACATAATCACAAGCCGGATGACTGTGAGGTTGTAGAGGTTTTCCCTATTAATCTGAACACTGTAATATTATATTCTAGTACAGAACCATCTCCCATGTATATTGTGTATATTTATAATAGATACTTATCAGATAAACCTTGGTTTACAAAATACAAACTGGGCATAGAATGAAACCTAATACATTTTTTATAAAGACAATTCACCATGCACCAGTGTAACTATAATTTTTCATGAGAAAATACAGTAGTCATGATACATTTTATGAGAATGGTGCCTAATAGTAGCTCAGTTTTATTGTAAAATGCATAATTGGAGTACACCATGGTAATTTGAAGGGTGGGACTGACCTGTCAACATAATATTTTACTCTTCTGACCACTTGACAGTTCACACGTCAGATTAACTACAATATTAATCTACTGTATAAAGCCTACTGTATCAAATGTGATACATTAATTTCTAAGGCCTCTAAATTGTCAACATGATCATAATTGAATGAAAAACCTGTTGTACACAGTCTGTTACATGCCTTCTGTTGTCTGATTGGTAGTTTACAGGTGCATCTCAATAAATTAGAATGTCGTGGAAAAGTTCATTTATTTCAGTAATTCAACTCAAATTGTGAAACTTGTGTATTAAATAAATTCAGTGCACACAGACTGAAGTAGTTTAAGTCTTTGGTTCTTTTAATTGTGATGATTTTGGCTCACATTTAACAAAAACCCACCAATTCACTATCTCAACAAATTAGAATACTTCAGAAGACCAATTAAAAAACATTTTTAGAGAATTGTTGGCCTTCTGGAAAGTATGTTCATTTACTGTACATGTACTCAATACTTGGTAGGGGCTCCTTTTGCTTTAATTACTGCCTCAATTCGGCGTGGCATGGAGGTGATCAGTTTGTGGCACTGCTGAGGTGGTATGGAAGCCCAGGTTGCTTTGCCAGTGGCCTTCAGCGCATCTGCATTTTTTGGTCTCTTGTTTCTCATTTTCCTCTTGACAATACCCCATTGATTCTCTATGGGGTTCAGGTCTGGTGAGTTTGCTGGCCAGTCAAGTACACCAACACCATGGTCATTTAACCAACTTTTGGTGCTTTTAATGAGTTGAATTACTGAAATGAACTTTTCCACGACATTCTAATTTATTGAGATGCACCTGTATACTTGATAATATGTATCAAGCAATCCTTTATAATTTATTAGCAAGGAAAAATAAAAATCTTGTCATCATTTTCTCACCCTTGGGTTGTTTCAACCCTATATACGTTTATTTCTTCTGTTGAACACAAAAGAAGATATAAAAAAAAAGAAAAAAGTTGATGGTCCCCTTTGGCTTCCATAGTATTTTTTCCCCATACTATGGAAGTCAATGGGGACCATCAAATGTTTGGTTACCCATATTTTTCAAAATATCTTCTTTTGAGTTTAACAGAAAAAAGAAACCCGTACAGGTTTGGAATAACTTGAGGGTGAGTAAATAATGGCAGAATTTTCATTTTTGGCTGAACTGTCCCTTTAAGTTTATTATATTTGATTATCCATTCATTTTTTAATGTTAGTATCAATATGATATGAAAATTGTTTATTTGTACATCATTTAATAACCATTGAATTGCATTGCATTATAGTAAGACAACTGATATTTATATGCATTTATATTCATTTATATGCATTTTTTTCATTAAGTAGTCTACTAATAGTGTTATAAAAATCTCTTTAGTTTGCATTACAAGTTCAGAATTTCATCCTTCTATTTGGCCATATAATACAGCCTATTACATATTCTTAGATGTGTTTTTACTCCTTGTTGTGTGTGACTATGAGCTCCATGTTCTCACTATATAGACCTTAAAATTGTGATGTATAAAATATAATGCAAAACATAAAACACATTTGATTTAGATTTTTAATAAACAACAAACTGTTCATCAAAAAATGCCAGGCGAACAGGCGTTAATACTAAAGGGTCGTGTTGTTTCGCCCATCCTGTAGGTGGCAGTCCTCTGTGTGTAGTTTCCGTATCAGGGATCACGAAAGAGCGCTGGTCAAGTGTTTTGTTCACGCGGAGCTCCAGTTTCATTCTGACAGCAGATGAGGAAGTCTATCTCTGTCCGAGACCGAGGTCCTCTTTCAACGAGTGAGTATCCTGCAGTATGGACCGTGACATTTCGCAGTCATTTCTGTGTATCATTTATTGCTTTATAAAGTTTGTGCTTGTAGAGTTAGTTCGCTGCGTGAGTTTAAATGAAGTCGGTTGAGTGATGGTTTGTTTGACTTGAGTCAACTGAATCGCCTGATGATGCGATGAGAGGAGGATGTTGTATTCATAACTTGGATGTTGGATGTTGTATTCATATTCACTTTCTGTCTGTAGCTCAAATTTGTCTTCCCTATTTAGTCGTCATTGTGTTTTATTGAAGAGAAAAAGATGCATAAGAGCTGTTAGTTATGAGGTGCAGTGCACTGCATTCCTGCTCGACTTCTGTTCCATCATCCAGCAGCCTGGCATTTGGGCTCTGTGTCCTGGCCTCTGGTGACTACTTTTAAGGCAGTGTTAAAATGCAGGCATCAGTCTGACAGCTGCAGATGTGACTCTCCACAGTCTGACACGCTTTCTGTAGATCATGCTCTACTTGCATGACATGTTTGCTCATTATGGTTAATTTGTGAGGTAGGTTGGTATGTGCCAGTTGCATGCTTGTGAAACTGAAAAGTGGCCTAAAATGTATACAACTCTCAAAGTTGAGGTCCAAAGAAGCACTTAAAGGGATAGTTTAAACAACACACACACACAAAAAGAGAGAAAGAGAATTGCTTCCTGTATGCTTCATTCTATTCACTTCTCCAAGGAAGAAAGTAAGTCTTAGGCTGATGATACACTGGGCAACTTTTTGAGCAGTGTTGCCAGGCAATTTTGGAAAATGTTGCGGTCAACAGGCAACCAGGTGAGATATGGAGCCCACGACCGATCTAAAATATCCAAATATAAATTTGTTACCCATTCTCAATGGGAAAGTGCCCAAGCAACATTGCTCAAATAAAGATGCCCCGTGTATCATCAGCCTTACTGAGTTTGACTCGAGGGTGAGTAAATGATGGAAAAACTTTCTTTTTTTTCAGTGGACAGGGTTTTTACCATATGTTCTTAGTTTGATTCTACCTTCAACGTTTTGTTTTTATTTAGCAGTATAATGCTATAGTAATGATTTTTACTATAGACTGGTGATGATTAACTTTCTAGTTAATTATTTACCATTTTGGGATCAGTTAGGCAGTTTAGAATGCTTTATATTCTGCAAATGCAAGCTCTTGATTGTCTCAATTTTATTGCTGTGCACATTATTAATTATTATGTAATTATTAATAATTACTGTAAAGTATTCACTTTAATACTTGCTCTTACTTGCAATTAACTTTAAATAAATACATAAATTACAATTTTCAAAATGTTAAAAATTTTTCTTTGGTTTGCTAAGGCTTTTTGACAAAAAAATAAAAAACAAGAATGCACACCAAAAGAATTATATCTTTAAATAAATCGTTTGCTAAAGTCTTTGGCATTTGTCATATTGTAAAAAAAAAAGGAAATAAAAAGAAAACTGAAACATTTTTAATTTTTCAATAAATAAATAACTTTTTCAAAGTGTTGCGAAATTTAATTTTATATTCTAAAACCTTTGACATTTGGCATATTTTTGTCAAGAAAAACAAAAATGAGTAAATAAATAAAATAAATTATTAATTAAATGAATGAATAAATAAAATATTTTTTTCCTCTAAAAAATAACTTTGTAATATTAGCTCAATAAATCATATAGTCACGTTCTGTCATTGATATTCAATTGCAAGGTTGTTGCCGTGCTGCTCTTATCCTCTTTATCTTAATGATAATCATTTATGACAGAAATAAACTTAAAAATTAAATAGTGGCAGTCCTCCCAATCATAATAAAAGCACTTCACAGGATAATTGTAAAAAAAAAAAAAAAAAAAAGGAAATAAAAAGAAAACTGAAACATTTTTCATTTTTCAATAAATAAATAACTTTTTCAAAATGTTGCGAAATTTAATTTTATATTCTAAAACCTTTGACATTTGGCATATTTTTGTCAAGAAAAACAAAAATGAGTAAATAAATAAAATAAATTAATAATTAAATGAATGAATAAATAAAATATTTTTTTCCTCTAAAAAATAACTTTGTAATATTAGCTCAATAAATCATATAGTCACGTTCTGTCATTGATATTCAATTGCAAGGTTGTTGCCGTGCTGCTCTTATCCTCTTTATCTTAATGATAATCATTTATGACAGAAATAAACTGTTAAATAGTGGCAGTCCTCCCAATCATAATAAAAGCACTTCACAGGATATGATCTCAAAGGTCGTTGGCTCTCTCCGTTGGTAGCTGCTGGACTGCTAGATTCATCATCACAGGATCATGTTGCTGATATGTACTGGACTCTGATTTGTTTCCTATGATGTCAGATGGAAATTGGCTCTCCATTCCTCTGATTTGGAAAAAGAAACAAGTTCATCCAAAAATGTTGTCACCATTCAGTCATCATGGTCAATTTGGTCTAGTTGACTTACTTCTGTGGAAAGGCTGTTTTTGCGCATACGGTGAAAGTCAATGGGGTCACACAACTTTGGACCACATTGACTTTCATTGTATGGACAAAAACAGCTTTTCCACAGGAAAAAAATCTCTTACTTTTATGTCACACAGAATAAAGAAATGTTTTCAGGTTTGAAATTGAGAGTCAGTAAATTCCATAAAAATTCCAGCCCAGCAATGTCGGCTCAACCAATGGCATGAGTTTAGGGAGGAGCTATCTTTTTTTCCCGACCAATAGCAGATAAGGGCATGTTTAAAAGTCTTTTTTTTTGCAGTTCCAGAAATGATTTATTATGATGTCAGATGGAAATTGGCTCTCCATTCCTCTGATTTGGAAAAAGAAACAAGTTCATCCAAAAATGTTGTCACCATTCAGTCATCATGGTCAATTTGGTCTAGTTGACTTACTTCTGCTGAAAGGCTGTTTTCACACAACTTTGGACCACATTGACTTTCATTGTATGGACAAAAACAGCTTTTCCACAGGAAAAAAATCTCTTACTTTTATGTCACACAGAATAAAGAAATGTTTTCAGGTTTGAAATTGAGAGTCAGTAAATTCCATTAAAATTCCAGCCCAGCAATGTCGGCTCAACCAATGGCATGAGTTTAGGGAGGAGCTATCTTTTTTTTTTCGACCAATAGCAGATAAGGGCATGTTTAAAAGTCTTTTTTTTGCAGTTCCAGAAATGATTTTACCTTTTACAAGGCTGTGTAGACATAAACATAATGAAATCTATCCACTTAAGGCTGAAAAATTAATAAACACATATAGACATTTACATAGTGCATGTTGAATGTTACATACTTGGACATACTTACTTTGACATGTTTGCTTAACACAAAATCAAGATTGCGCAACACAGGAGAGGCCTTGCAGAAGAAGGCAATGAGTTTCTGATCAGTGTGAGTTAAGATGTTAAAAAATCCCTCGAAAAACTTGTATCTTATTATCTTGCAAGGATATTGGACTCTGGTTGCTTTGTGGCTTTTTGTAAGTGATAGTAGCATTTATTTATGAGTTTGTTTATCCATGTGTGTGTGTGTTTTTCCTGACCCTGGGTCGCTGTAGACGGCTTCCTCTCAACTTAATGTTCCCTGTCAACACATCCACAGCGTGATGAGTTATCTTTGGAGGCCGTAGACCTCAGCATTTGATCCAAGTCTCACCCCTCCCCCATATTCACCTCTGTCAGGGGCCCGTGGCTATTATTATGCCCTTGATTACATGCAAACAGTTTGTAGTTTATAGTATTCTTACAGACCGTGAAACATATTGGATTAACACATTGATTCTATATCTGGGTGACTTGATGGGAGTTTATAGATTGTGTAAAAAGTAACCCCGGGATAGTTTGGATTAAGAAGCAGTGCAGGGTTTGTTTAGAGGCATAGCTAGCATGACCTGTATCAGCATGGGTATGGAAATGTGATATGGAACAGCATATATGTCCAACACTGCATGCTTTCCCTAGCAGTAAGCATATTGGAAGACATGGCGTAACTCTGGAAAATGTAGGCCAAGTGTAACGGCAAGACTTGTTTAAATGTAGAATTTTTATTGGTATTATTTGCATTATTTTAAAACATCTGGAAAATGAATGAATGTTACAAAAAGTGTTAGCACTTTAGAATAAGGATACATGGATACATTATATATGGATACATATAAACATAACATAGTTAATGCAATAGCTAACATTAAATAATGAACAACAGTTTTTCAGCAATTATTAATCACTGTTAATGTAAATTATCATCGGACTGCGCCATCTAGAGTTTCATGCCAGAACTCTGCATATATAAATAATACTCTTTGACCAATTGAAAGTTTGAAAGGACTGCATCTGAAATCTTATAAATGTCTGTACTGTCACTTTTGATCAATTTAATGCATACTTACAAAGTATTAATTTATCATATATTGTCTATTGGCTCTTTATTGCAGGTAAGAACAGAAATGGATTTTGTGAGAGAAATTGATCAGGATTAACTCACATGTTCCTGGTTTTGGAAGGATGACACCAAATCTTTAAGGATTAAACACACCATCATTTTCTAAGACAACCTTGGCATTAAGTCACTTCTGGACCCTAATCTTACTGGATTACGCACCTCATCTGTCTAATGTTTCCACCACTGAGCTTCAGCACGAGATGGTGTGCTGGGAATTTGGCTGTTTGACAGAGACTCGACAGAAATGTCGAAGTCAAGCAGACAGGGGATGTGCAACAGCGAACTTCCCCGGTTCCTTGTTGGAAGTGAGGGTGGTGAAAGCAGAGAGCTGGATGACATAGACATGAGGAAGATCTCAGAACATTACAGGGAGGAGGAGGAGGAGGAGGAGGAGGATGATGATGATGAGGATCAGGTACAGAAAATTGTTCATGGACGAGTGAGTTTTTAAAAAAAATTTGTAACTGATGCTCATGCGATATCTCCTATCAGTCAGAGCGTCAGATTATGGTGGGGATCTGCTCCATGATGAAGAAATCGAAATCCAAACCAATGACTGAGATTCTGGAGAGGCTCTGTAAGTTTGAGTACATCACTGTGGTCATTTTTCCAGAGGAGGTTATACTCGGTGAACCGGTGGAGAAGTGGCCGTTGGGTGACTGCCTCATTTCCTTTCCTTCCAAAGGTATCTGACATCACACAGTTCACACGCAATCAGCTTGAAATCTTGATGTGCCATATTGTCTCAGTATTATTAATGCTGCCTTCAAAACAGAAATGAATTACAATTAAATATCTAATAAAAAAAGAAAACAATTATTTTGAATTGTGGTAATTTTTCTAAATTTTACACTTTTTGCTGTATTTTTGATCAAATAAAATAAATGCAGCCTCAGTAAGCGTAAGAGAGTTTTGTTAAAATAATAATAGAAAAACATTTCAAAATCTGACAACCCCCCCCAAATTGGATGTTAACTGATGCAAATTAATACAATATTTTTTTTCTCATCTTGAAGGATTTCCCCTTGACAAAGCAGTAAGTTATGCCAAACTAAGAAACCCCCTCCTTATCAACGACCTCAATATGCAGTATTTCATTCAAGACAGGTGTGGTAAATTATTCTCTGAAATATTCTTGACAAGTAAACATTGTTATGAGAGTTGACTGGGACATACAGTATATGCTCATGGCTTTAGGAGGGAAGTGTACAGGATTCTACAGGAAGAGGGCATTGACCTTCCACGCTATGCAGTGTTGAACCGGGACCCCGACAGACCAGAGGGTAAAGATTATTACTGTGGTCATAATTTAGAAGATTTTTTTCTGCATGCTTCAGAGTAAAGCGTGGCACTGTTCATTTGCAAGCGTGCAGCTCATGATCCCGCATTTTCAGTGCCTCAGAGTGGCTCTGTTATTGTTTTGTTAATATTTTAAAATTAGATTTTATTTTTAGATTTTAAAAATGTAATGTAAATTGTAATGAAAGTTTTAGTTATTTTGTTGTTTTTGTCTTTTTTTTTTAAATGTTTATATAGTTATTACATTTTAGTATTTAGTTTTAGTTTATTTGGTTTTAATTATTTTAGCACTTCATCTTAAACAAAAAGAAAATGAGAAATGTGGCATTGGTTGCCTTGGCAACTTGCTGAAATAAAATAAGTTGTAAATAAGTGTTTTTATGTTTTATTTCATTTCATTTTTGTTTTAGTTAATGATAATAACCAACCATATTCCCAAACTTGTAATGAGGAGCACTTATAACCTGGCAACAAATATGTTCAATAAAAGAAAAGCTTTAATGGCTCCTTGCGGTTTTCATGAAAATAAAACTTGGAAGTTTTAACATTTAAAAATAAAGAAATTAAGACCGATATTAATGTTGTAATTTTACAGCTGCTATACTATAAAATACAACTATTATTATTACTGTTATTGAATACAAATTTTTGTAGTAGTAATATTTCTTACTTTATTTTTTTTATTTAGTAATAGTAATAACCACTACAACAACTAATATCATTATTATTTTATACATCATTTAATTGTGTAGCCCTGCAAACAAGCAGAGCAAACCTAGAGATTTAAATCGATATTGCAATTTTTATCAGAGAAATCTCAATTACATATTTTCACAACATCATGTAGCCCTAATATACTTTCCCTTATGTCGTTTCAAACCTGTGTGCTGTTTTATTTTTTTGGTTGAACTTTAAGTTCCTCATAGTGGGTACCTAAATACTCTCTGTATACGGTGTTTTCGGTTATACCGGTGTTAAGCCGCAACACCGGTTACATCATTTACCTACCATGGCACTGAATTGAGTCAACACGGAATTGCTGCTAATTTGAAAGTGAAAGTAAAACGTGCACGGCGCTTTTTCTAGCTATTTGAAAGCCAAGAAATCTGAGGAAAAGAGGGAAAACTCAAATGAACGATTGCTTGACATGACACATTTAATTTATAATTTGTCTTAAATCTCATTTTGTAAAAAAACGTGAATCGAATCGTGAAATCAAAATCATGAATCAAATCGAATCATGGGTTGAGTGAATCGTTACATCCCTAGTACTGATATATTGTGCATCCTTTGTCTAAACCTGAAAACCTCAAGGTTGGACTGAAAAGAAATCATGTAAAAATAATTTTTTTGCTTCAATTTCTTATTTATTGTTCCCTAAATATTTACACTATCGTTCGAAAGTTTGGGGTTGGTCAGATTATTAAAGTTTTTGGAAAAGTCTCTTATGCTTACCAAGGTTGAATATATTTGATCAAAAATAAAGTAAAAACGGTAATATTGTGAGAAATTGTTACAATTTAAAATAGTTGTTCTATTTAAATATATTTTAAAAACGCAATTTATTCTTGTGAGTCAAAGCTGAATTTTCATGTGTCTTTCAAACATCTTTACTGTCACTTAAATCACAATTTAAGGCATCCTTTCTAAATAAAAGTATTAATTTCTTTTTTAAAAAAAAGGTCTTACTGGCCCCAGACTTTTGAACATAGTAATACTTTATTTTAAAGATATTTTAAAACATTTTTCATTAAACTATAGTATCCAACCATCCAGAATGACCCGCTCTCTGCTGTGTTGTATAACCTAAAAACGTGACACTGTTGCAGATGCCACGTTTTATTCCTCCCAAAGCGTGTCATTCCTGTAGAGACTGTCCTGGTATGGCACAGATTAACCTCTGCCAGCTTGGGAAGGTCACTCGGATACATGTTTCCAGAAACATGGAGACCACAGAGCACCTGCTAGTGGTTTGAGCGCAGTGCTATGTCTGATGCGTGCTGTCTGTGTTGTTCAGTGGGAGAATGCTCATTAAGAGGGGGTGGTATGTTTATGTTCCCCACCCCGTGTATTGTCTTTCAGGTATGGCCATTTCTCAGGGATCAACAGGAAGGTGCAGCTGACCTACCTGCCAAATGGGCAGCCCAAAGCATCCAGTGAGGAGGAAGGTATGTGTACAGTAGGCTTGCTGTGAAAGACGGTGTTTTCGGTTATACCGGTGTTAAGCCGCAACACCGGTTACATCATTTACCTACCATGGCACTGAATTGAGTCAACACGGAATTGCTGCTAATTTGAAAGTGAAAGTAAAACGTGCACGGCGCTTTTTCTAGCTATTTGAAAGCCAAGAAATCTGAGGAAAAGAGGGAAAACTCAAATGAACGATTGCTTGACGCCGAATTGCATCACTTTGAAAGTGAAAGTAAAATGCGCACGGCACGGCATACAAGCCATTTGAAAGTGAAGAAAAGAGGGAAACTCAAATGAACTAACATCCCCCCCCCTCCTCCAATGGTGATTCATCACTTTCATCACTTTGAAAGTGAAAGTAAAATGCGCACAGCACGGCATACAAGCCATTTGAAAGTGAAGAAAAGAGGGAAACTCAAATGAACTAACATCCCCCCCCCCCTCCACCGGTATTACCGGTGTTGTCACACGTCGATTAACCGGTGGGAAAACTTCCTCACCGTCACAACCCTAGTGTACAGTATGCATATATGTTTACTCAAAATAGCTGTCGCATCACTTTTGACCTCTCTGTGTCTATGGCAGATGCTCTGAAGGAGGGCCCGTCTCTACTGCTGGTGCTGAAGTGGGGAGGTGAGCTGACGCCAGCGGGTAGAGTTCAGGCTGAGGAGCTTGGACGAGCCTTTCGTTGCATGTACCCTGGAGGACAAGGTATAACTCTATGCTTGCACCAGCCAGAAAGCTGTACTGATAAACTGATTAGAAATACAGTGGCCCTAAAAAGTATTTTGAAAATAATTTTGGATAACAGTAAGAAAGCTATGAAAGCCCGTTTCTGCCACTGAATAAAAAAAGGTCATTGCGAATATTTATCTTGCAATTCTGAGAAATTAAGTCAGAATTGAAAGTTTATATCTTGCAGTTCTGATTTTTTTTCTCAGTATTGCATGATATAAACTTGCAGTTGCAATTTATGAAGTCAGAGTTGCGACAAACTCAGAATTTTGACTTTTTTTCTCGTATAATGATGCAATTGCGAGAAAAAAGTCAGAATTGTGAAACATAAACTCAGAATTGCAAGATACAGACTTGTATTTGCCGAGCCTTTCGTTGCATGTACCCTGGAGGACAAGGTATAACTCTATGCTTGCACCAGCCAGAAAGCTGTACTGATAAACTGATTAGAAATACAGTGGCCCTAAAATGTATTTTGAAAATAATTTTGCATAACAGTAAGAAAGCTATGAAAGCCCGTTTCTGCCACTGAATAAAAAAAGGTCATTGCGAATATTTATCTTGCAATTCTGAGAAATTAAGTCAGAATTGCAAGTTTATATCTTGCAGTTCAGATTTTTTTTCTCAGTATTGCATGATATAAACTTGCAGTTGCAATTTATGAAGTCAGAGTTGCGACATAAACTCAGAATTTTGACTTTTTTTCTCGTATAATGATGCAATTGCGAGAAAAAAGTCAGAATTGTGAAACATAAACTCAGAATTGCAAGATACAGACTTGTATTTGCAAAAAAAGTTTTTAAGTTGCTATTCTGACTTTATAACTCACAATTCTGAGTTTATATCACACAATTCTGGGAAAAAAAGTCAGATTTGCGAGTAGAACATTTTCGTGAATCCAGCCTACGTTGTTTACAGGAACAGTTGTTTTGATAAAGATCTTGATAAATTGGATGCTTTGACAAGATATTGTGTCTGTTTTTAGGTAGTGGGGCAATGATGCAGTTTTTCGAAGCTCATAGCTTTGGGCAGGAAACCTGTTCCACCTGCTTGTTCAGTGGGCTTGGCATACGAGAGCATGTAGGGGCAGGACTCAGGGAGGCATGAATACTTTCTTTACCTCAAGTAGCACCTTTAACTTTCAGTACGCCAGCACAAAAACTTCTTAGTCATGCTGTGGATTCTTTCCTGTGTAGTTCCATCACTTCCCCCCGGACCTCGAATTTGAGTCCATATTTGCATGCTGCAACTAATTGAGTGTAACTCATTAAATGTTCACAGACTTACAAAGACCAAACCATTTTCTCTCATTAGACTGAGTCAGTGGTGTTCTTTTACCCTGAATTGTTAACTAGACAGCTGCAGGTCCCTTGGCTGTGAGTCCCCTATTGACTGTGGTAAGAAGAGATTTTGGATTTGTGTGTGGTCTTGATATTGGGTTAATGCATCATCTGCCCCATTCATCAATTTAATTGCTTAACATCCATCTCATTAAACTAATCCAAACAGAAGGACACCACAGGAACATTCCATACTTCGCTTTTGCCACGGTTTTGTGTGGAAGATTCCATGATATGGACATTGGTCATCTACGTTGTTTACAGGAACAGTTGTTTTGATAAAGATCTTGATAAATTGGATGCTTTGACAAGATATTGTGTCTGTTTTTAGGTAGTGGGGCAATGATGCAGTTTTTCGAAGCTCATAGCTTTGGGCAGGAAACCTGTTCCACCTGCTTGTTCAGTGGGCTTGGCATACGAGAGCATGTAGGGGCAGGACTCAGGGAGGCATGAATACTTTCTTTACCTCAAGTAGCACCTTTAACTTTCAGTACGCCAGCACAAAAACTTCTTAGTCATGCTGTGGATTCTTTCCTGTGTAGTTCCATCACTTCCCCCCGGACCTCGAATTTGAGTCCATATTTGCATGCTGCAACTAATTGAGTGTAACTCATTAAATGTTCACAGACTTACAAAGACCAAACCATTTTCTCTCATTAGACTGAGTCAGCAGCATCTTGCAATGCTGGTTAATGTGGTGTTCTTTTACCCTGAATTGTTAACTAGACAGCTGCAGGTCCCTTGGCTGTGAGTCCCCTATTGACTGTGGTAAGAAGAGATTTTGGATTTGTGTGTGGTCTTGATATTGGGTTAATGCATCATCTGCCCCATTCATCAATTTAATTGCTTAACATCCATCTCATTAAACTAATCCAAACAGAAGGACACCACAGGAACATTCCATACTTCGCTTTTGCCACGGTTTTGTGTGGAAGATTCCATGATATGGACATTGGTCATACTTTGACATACTGAGATAAAATATCATAGTTCATGAGCTTTTTTTTTTTTTTTACTTAGTAAGTTTATTTTTGTCGCAGTAGAGAGTTTGAAATTGTAGTGTTACAATTTTTTTTCTACAGATTTCTTTGGAGATTTTCTTTAAAAACCTTTATTAAACTACTGTGCCATTATTTTAACAATCTGTGGCATCAGTTTCAAGGCATGTCAGTCCAATATCTTGTCTAAATAGGTGGAATAAGACATGTCATCCAGATTTTTCAGATGGTTTAAACTTTCTTTTTTATGAAAGACTATTGACACCACATAAGAAGAAAAAAAAATGCTTTGGGCATATAAAAGTCATATTTATGGAATGCAAAAGTCAAATGATTACATATTACTGTAAAGCATAATTATGACAAAGTCAAAATTGAGTTAAAAATCATAAGACATTAAAAAGTAAAGTTTGAGATTATGATTTAATATGTAATAATTCGATTTTTCATCTCCTAAAATACTTTCTCAATTTCAACTTTTTTCATAATTATTACGTTATTTTTGCATAAAGTGTTGATATTTTATGTCATTATTATGACTTTTTAAATTATTTTTTATGTATGTAGTATTTAATTGTATCTAAATATGCTTTACCAAATTATGATTTACCTTTTTTTTCTTATGTGGTGGAAATGGGCTACATAAATGCTCCAGGACATGTTCTTGCATTCAAAACCAGCTTCATGAAGCACATTGTACATCTCAAAATTGTAAAAAAAAAAAACTGTCTTAAAAATGTTATATTTACATCGTAATGGCTAAATATCTCCATTTGACACGTGGTTACATGGACAAAAAGAACGGATGGACCACGAGAATGCATCCTGTGTGAATGGCGGTTTGTTTTAGGGGACTCATCTGTTCTCTCAAATGGACATTCTGGAATCTTAAATCAGAGTTCTGTTTGCTACTCAATAGTGCAATGCAACACTCATGTGAGAAGCACCTAAACCAGTGTTTCTCAACTGGTGGGTCGCGGAGTGTACGGCCAAAGAAACACCATCAACAACAAAAAATTTAATTCTTAATGTTTTTCTGATGCAAGACTTTTATTTTTAAAGACGTGAGTGAGAGCTGTTGATACTTCTGTCAGATGCAGTTTAAAGGGGTCATATGATGTTGCTAAAAAAAGCATTATTTTGTGTATTTGGTGTAATGAAATGTGTTTATGCGGTTTAAGGTTCAAAAAACACATTATTTTCCACATACTGTACATTATTGTTTCTCCTTTATGCCCCGCCTTTCTGAAACGGCCAATTTTTACAAAGCTCATCAGTCTGAAAAGCAAGATGTGCTCTGATTGGCCAGCTATCCAGTGCGTTGTGATTGGCTGAATACCTCAAGTGTGTGACGGAAATGTTGAATGTTGAATCGTCAGTGGCAAATTCTTTAAATATAAAAAACTTACTTGCATTCTGTGAGTCCGA